TTCGAATAATACTTTGGTCTTTAGTATTCCTGTCTTAAGGTATTCTACTCACAACTGTTTTTTCAAAGCAAAAACTCGCCACTAAAATTATTATTAAGGTATCACTCAAAACCATGAAATAAAATGAAAATAAAAATAATCAGTAGAATAACCCGACTTCGCAAAATCATAATATAAATTTGTTGTCATTATGTGATTTTATCATCGACGTACGTTCATTGATTACTTCAGTACAATTTACGGTATGACGTAATAGACATTTTTCGTGATTTTGACTATATAGTCGAAATCACAAAAGATCACTTTAGTCTGTAGTAAAGACTGACGCCAGCGATTTGTGAATATTTTTAATTAACTTTCAGATATGTTAGATAGAGACAAACTGAATTTTATATTCTAAACAAACTGTATTGTTAACTTGCATGTATCCTACAAACATAGACGATGTTTTCATGTTGCATGATCGATCATATTGGAAAGATGAATAGTTGGGTTATGTTAAAGCAGGTTAGGTTGTTTTCGAATAATATTTTGGTCTTTGGTGATCCTGTCTCATAACTGTTTTTTCAAAATAAAAACTCCCCACTAAACTTATTATTAAAGTATCACTCAAAACCATGAAATAAAATGAAAATAAAAATGATCAGAGTGTGTGTTGTTGTCATTATGCTCCTGACATCATGATTTTATCATCGACCTACGTCCATTGATTACTTCAGTACAATTTATGGTATGACGTGATTTTGACTATATGTTCTATATATATATATATATTCAGACATTTTGGCTGTCAAGGTGTCATTGTTTTTGAGTATATAGAATTGTAACTACAAATGTTTGTTTCAGCAGTTATGCATCTTGTCACACATACATTAGTTACTCTTTGTTGTGCTTTGTTAATTCTCACAAACCTTCGACTCTAAAATGAAATAATCCCTAGACATTTTCTAGGCATTCGTTTCACTTCCCACTAGTATATATACAACTCATTGACATTCTGGCCACATGAAAACATATCTTAGTTTATACTGTTTTACTGAAATTTTGGCCACCAGGGTGGACCATAAGTTTTTGTGCTTTCAGACTTTTTATTACTGGATCTTAATAATCTTGCATCGCCATCTTATGGCCGAACTGTTTTGTCTTATATTATTTCCTCCCAACACAAACAGCATGGTGCCCTTACTTTTTCCCGAATATCCGATTCATGAAGAATGCAGATGAAGCATTAGTGGTCGAAGAATGCGTTACAGTGTATGTCCTGGGTGGGCTTTCAAGTTCTCGGAGGACGTTTTGTTTTTATTTTCAGTGTTGTGGTTTTATGTCAGGTTAACCCCCAACATTCAACATAATATTGATTTGAGCTGAGCTGAAGTGGAAGAACACCATCTGGTGAACACTCCCTCGAACTTTTATTTTGTATTTACGGGGTGTTTCAAGTTCGACACTCACCGTTGGGATCTCGGAAGCGGTAAGAGATACCAAGTAGATGGGTGCAAAATTGAGCATTTAGGTAACTAAGAAAATGGGACGTAGAAAGTTTCGCAATTCAGAGTATTGCCAGATAATAGATAAAATAATCCGAATCCTCCCAAAACTGTTTTTATTTTTTTCATTTGACGTGGGAAGTCAAAGTGAAGAGTACATTAACATTGCCATTTTTGCCACTATAAGACGCCGTAATCAAAATTTCAATTTGATGTTTCGTCTTTCCATTACTTTTTTTTCTTATAGGTGTCATAATAAATTTATTATTATGAACGAGGGTGACGTGTCTGGTATATTCAAAACAACAGATACTGCTTTTCTATCTAAACATAAACACTATCTGGCATGAACGCCACTAATGGAGTTTGAGCTTCCAGAAAACAGCAGGAATAGGAATTATGCAACTTTCGCTTATTACGTCAATGCCGGTAGCATGGTGAGTACTTAGTGCTTCCCTGAGCGACGCCTATGTAGTGGACGCCCTCGTTTGGCTTCTTAGAAGCTGACACTGTCATTCAGCAACGTACGTGTGGTCGGTAGTAGTACTCACAGGTAGTATCACATTTATTTTTCGTAAGTCTTAAGCTGGTTAAAGTTATCCTTGATAACATGTTATCAAGTATTACAGATCATGTTGAGAAGAAGAATTATTATGCTCCTTATTTTTCGAAACCAACTTTAACATTTTTCCGACTGCCACAGCCTGTGACATATTGACCAATGATCACCCATGACTTATACTAAGTGACATATAAATCAGAACACCCAGTTTAAATGGTTTTATTTTAATAAAAATTGGTGAATGTATTTATCTTACTGTAAATAACAAGTGAAAAATTTTTCAGCCTTATCAGTTGGACATTCCGGTTTTTATACTGCTTTTTTTTTAATTCACTAACGCTCTAAAAATGAATATTTCAGCCACAGTAAAGAATCAACGTTGGCGGATTTTGGTTCTTGACATCCTTTACGATCGGTTACGATGCCTAGAGTACGGACACCTGTACGATTTCGTCAACTTAGTGAGTTTGATAGGGGCCGTATAGTGGGGGACTTCGGGAAGCTGGACTTTCTTTTCGGGCAATTGCAGTTAGAGTGCAAAGATGTGTAGACACTGTGGTTAGGTGTTGTCAGGCATGGCTTCGAGAAGGCCGTACGCAAAGAGCAAGGGGCAATGGACGCCGCCGTAGAACAACAGACCGTGAAGATCGCCACCTAAGATTATTGGCCTTAAGGGACCGTTTCTCCACTACCAGGTCCATTGCAAATGAATGGTTTGCAGAACACGGAAGACCTATTGGCATGCTAAGTGTTTACCGACAGACAAGACATGTTCATCACACTGTTGGAGTTATGGTTTGGGGTGCTATAGCTTATGGTTCCAGGTCACCTCTAATCGTCATCAGAGGTAACATGAACGCGCAGCGTTATATCCACGAAGTTCTAGAACCCCATCTTTTACCCCATCTTGACACCCTGGCAAATCCAACTTTCCAACAAGATAATGCCCGACCACATGTTGCAAGAGTCACAATAAACTTCTTTCAACATAATGATGTCACATTGTTACCATGGCCACCAAGATCTCCCGACTTATCCCCAATTGAGCACGTGTGGGATATGATGGGTAGGAGATTGCTCAATTTGCAACGTCCTCCTCAGACTCTAGAAGCACTTCGAGAGGAGTTGGTGGTTGCCTGGAATGAGATACCACAGGAGGACATTGACCACCTGATCAGAAGCATGCCTAGGCTCGTTGGAGAATGCGTAGCACATCAGGGTGCATCCACACATTATTAAAGGTCAAAGGGCTTTAAAGCAGTGCAATCATTTTGAAATTTTTATCATTTACATTTAACCATTTAAACTGGGTGTTCGGATTTATATGTCACTGAGTATAGTTGAAAAACCGTACCTTGATTTAACATTCTTCTGTATCACTACACTTACCCACAAAAGGATATATGTTGATAATTACGGTAGCTTCCTGGTTGTTTATTCTAATCTACAAGAGAAGGAATGAAATAGTTTTTGCTTCAACTAACGAACAGTTTATTTGCAATAAAAATAGCTGCATAAAATATATAGTCCATGTAATACAAAGTAATTGTTATTTTTAACATCGCTTTCTAACGTATGCAAGACACTTATCATACAGCGAAGCACTTTTACCTAGTGCATTTTTTATTGAAATGAAAGTATTATGCGATCAATTGCATCAGATGGAAGTATTTTATATGCTTATCCCCTTGTTGCAATCCATGGGGTGATAAATAATTCTGAATTATGGTAATTTGTCCAAGAGATAGTGACAACTCATCTGGTGTGACGGTAACTGTAACACCTGCTGTGATCGACCACTAAGAACAAGGTACCTCAAGAAGAATAGACGCGTTGAAAGAGAGCTTGAACTATTTTCTCGATAGGGGGATAGAGGGATTTACGAGCTTTTACGAACGTCGTTTGCTTTTATACAGGAGATAGTTCGGCAGGATTGTAGCTCATTTACAGTAGATATCAGTTAAGAAAGGATTTTGCGACAGGGCCGTATCATGGGCTGTAAGGGTACTCGCAACTTTGCTTGAAAATGTTTCTAGATACCTAAAATTACATAAACTGAGACTGAGAGATAGGGCGAAAAGGTATTTTCTAAAATGTAAAATTTGGTTTAATCTAATTTGTCAATATTTTAGTTATTTTAACAATTTTAAGCGTACGAAGTTGCGGGTAACAGCTAGTATAATAAATAATAAAACAATGGCCCGTTACATTTGTGGAAAGCCTGATATTTATGGTGAAAAAGAGTAGTCATGTTTTACATCGGTAAAATGATTACTGTTTGAGTACAATGCCCTGTTTCAGTACAGTTCTTTCGAATTTGCCATTATCTCCAGTATACTGGTTACGCCATTTTGAGATTATAGATCCGAGAAACCAGATACAAATTTTCAGACGACTTTATGATGTTTTAGGTTTACGACTATTTAGGAGATCGTTGAAGCATCCAGAAAAAAAGAAAAAAAATCTTTCGCATAGCAAGAGGAGGCCGTATTGGGCCTCGGACCCTCATCTCTCAGTGGAGTTGAGTGCGACCTTGAATCTCATCCCCCTAACGTTGCGTGATAACTCAAAATGCTGAAGCCCATCATGGTCTGCCTGTAGAGGAATTTGTCAATGAGGGAAGCTCTCTGATTGGCGGTTTGCAGTTGTTGCTGACACCGGGTGGCCATCGACGAATTTTCCTCTAATGCTTACGTGTAGATAGTGAAACAGATTATAATTTCATATTGGAAGGGTACCCGGAGGTTTTGTGCCAGAGAGGTATTCGTAATCGCTGCCAGTTTTCTACTTTCATATTCATCCGCAAATATCGGCTGTCCTCTCTAAATGCAAGCACGCAACGTGCGAAGAACAGATCGGATCTGGCTTGATGGAGAGAGAAACACATCAATTTGGAGTACAAACAAAGCTCTGAATGCTTTATTTGAATGAGATTAAGTATTAAACTGGGTCTATAACAAAGGTGTTTGTCTTCTCTTACACCAACAAATAAACTTCTCACATAAAAATATCAAAACTGAACTTATGTATCCAACTAGTAGTATGCAAAATGGATGTCGAAGCTGTGTCATAGTTAGAGCCTTCCTGATACTGGACTCTTTGCCGTCAAAAACATCTCGGGCTGGCCGTTGCTCATCAATCCTAAAAGAAAAAAGCACAATGTATCCGAAAATCGTCGTGACAGATTTGAGAAGATTTGCCTCCAAATGGAAATTGAACTTAAGATATCTTAGTAGGAGGCCAACCATGTTGGCAAGGGAAATAAGGGTAATACAGGGTAGTCAATATATAACTGACAAATTTAAATTATATACATGCATTCCAGTAGGTGGTGCCGTAGTAGTCGTTTAAAGCACATGCGTCCAATTCATCATGGATCCCAAAATGCGACCGTATTGTTAAAACGTTTTGCTTAAGTAATGAGTCGATTGTTGCAATGATTTGGAATCTACGCCAAGATTCCGGGCGAAATAATGTGCGAAGTGAAAACACCATTCATCCGCTGGTACAGAAATTTGGACAAACGGGTGAAGTTAAAGACTTGCCAAGGTCGGACCGTGTTTGAACTGTTTGTACTAATATTTTGAGATTTTGTGAAAGTGTAGTGGAGCGCCTCGAAACGTCTACCAGACATAGTTCTCAAGAAATGGGCATTTGTCGCACATCATTATGCGCTATTTCAAAACAATACTTGCATTTGCAGCCATACAAAATTGAGTTAACCCAAGCACTACAGCCTACACGCGGACATTTGTCTGATTATTTTACATACATAGTTTCAATATATTTTATAATAGGTTCAATAAAAGATTAAGATGAAAAAATGGACGTATCTTATTTCATTTCACAAATATTCAAGATACAAGCAAGTCAGTTATATATCGGCCACCCCGTACCTTTACTTTTTCAGCTTGATAGTTTTTTTTGCACAATACGAGTCCCTTTCCACTTCATTTGGCCCAACTATTGAAATCTTAGTTTTTTTCTTATCAAACACAAATAATAAAAATGTAGCAGGGTGTTATAGGATTAAAATATCAACAATGAATGTTTTGATAATATATAGTAGAAAACACCAACTTTATCACTCAATAATCAAATTTGCAGCATAAAAATAACACATGTTGCAATTACAGCATATCAACCTATTTTCATTTCAATGCAAAATAAGTCTATAATGCATAGGTGGCTGTGAAAAATAAAAGCCATGATTTGTTGTTGTTGAATTGTTTTTATTAATCACAGCTGTCAGAATACATTTAAAATAGTTTTGGGTAGTTAAGGTTTTCAAAATGGGTAGAGGAAAGGTTATTAGTGAAAAAAATTCGGTTACTGGTAATTAAATTTTTTAATTCTGGAAATCAAACTCAGAAATTGCAACTTTGTTAGACTTATCGCGGTACAGTGTGAGAAATATTGTTAGAAGATATAACTGGTACAGTTAATATTAAGCCACGATATGTGAAAAAAAGTAATATCACAAATGCCGACCGAAGAGCATTAAGAAGAATAATCGTGAAAAACAGGCGTGCCAATTATTTACAATTAAGTTCTCTGCGGAGTGACGCTGTTGGAAGGAGAATTTCGAGGTCCGCAACTCATAGAGAGGCCCACAAACTGGGATTTAGCACTTGCAAGGTAAGTTTTCTTATAAAAAAAGTCATGTAAAAACCCTAAAGTTGCACAACTTGTTTATAGGCCAAAGAAAAGCCACTAATAACTCCACTGCAAAATAAAAATTGGCTTAGATGGGCTAAAGAACATAGACAATGAACACCTCAACAATGGTGCGCAATACAATGGAGTGATGAGGCTCGATTCGAAGTTTGTGTCGGTTACAGTCACAGTAGAGTTCTTCGCAAAAAAATGACGCATTCCATGTTGACTGTCTGAAGAGAAAAGTGAAATTTCCAGCATCCATTATGGTCTGGGGGAGTATGTCATTAAAAGGAGTAGGAAAACTTCGTTTTATTGTTGGAAATGTGGATACAAACAAATATTTGGCAATATTAGAAGAATCGCTTTTACCACTGATGGAAGAATGTTTGACATCCGGCCAAGATTTTGTGTTTCAGCAAGATGGTGCAGCGTGCCATACCTCAAAAAAGGCTATAAAATGGATGGAAGAAAATAATGTACCACTTTTGAAATGGGTTTCTAGCAGTCCAGATCTGTCACCTATTGAAACTTTGTGGGACGAGATGTAAAAGGTTCTACGACAACATCCTGCTCGTACAATCACCGAACTGAGACAAAAGCTTCAAGAAATATGGGATTGTTTTACACCAAATTTTTGCCAAAACGTGGTTAACACTATGCCCCAAAGAATTTCAGCCGTAATAAAAAATAAAGGTGATGTTACCCAATGGTAATCTTTCAATTGTTGCTTTGTTAACTTCGCGCGTTTATTCGAACGTTGTTTATTTGTTCAGATGATCTATTAGTTATAGGTCTAAGTGATTTCAAATATGTATTTTTTACGACTAGAGTATATCTAAAATGTTTTTGAGAAAATAAATTGTTTTAGAAGTAAATAGTTTCCTCATGTTTAGTTTATAAAGGCACACATCTTGAAGTGGGCCAACTAAAGTGGGAAGGGGCTCGTATATGATAGGCTACTGATGTCCTTATGGTCAAGGTGTGGCAAGTAATGTCAACCTATTAATGAATAGGTTCTTTCTAAGTCGATTTTTACACAAGACCTGACTGTTTTTGTTTTGAGATATGGATGTACTGACCAAAACTTGATCAGCCCACTCTGCTGGAGTCTCAAAATTAAAATAGACAACTGCTTTGTGTAAGGAGCTGATTTCTGGAACATCCATGTTTGGAAACCACCACCTATGTTCAATCGTATGTATCGGAGCTTGGTGTACCATCCCATTGGAAAATTACAGTAGTTCGACTTCTAAAATAAAAATTTGAGGTTCAGTCATTTGATGCACCTAAAATTTAACTACCTAGTCTATTTACTATCAAACATGATGCTTTCGGTCCCCGACCATAAAGACAGCCAACCATAGATAGCTGTTTCGTGCTTTTTGGCTACTGATCAGCATGGCTTAGGCTTGGTCTCACGTCTCTGGACAAACGGACGAAAGCATTGCAACTATCCTCTATACCGGCTGTATGAACTACCGAAATAAGACACACAAGAATAAACCATTGCGGAAAGCGCAGAGCTGCTAATAGTTGGAACTGTTGAGGATCTCAGCTCACTTTAAATATCCCAGTCGCCACATGGCCGCTAGACGACTGACGATTCTGGCTGTAAAGTAGATTTAGTCTACTTACCAACTAACAGCAGCTAAGCGCCTTCCGCAGTGATTGATTCTGGTGTGATAGATGGCGCTTTCTTATTTCCACTTACCACTTTTATCTACCACCGGGTGGAAAAGTGAACTTAATGGATATGTTTTCAGTAGGCATTAGGTCCCACTATTCACAGCACTATGCAGTAAATCAACTGTAGCGTCCGCTACGTATAAAATAAATTATGTTGAATACAATGTGGTGTTTATTCAAAATCTACTTAAAAAATTCTTTAAGGTCTCGATTTCAGCCAGTCGTAGATAAAATTTTGCACTTTGATTTCATATCGCTGGCCATGACGGTCCGCTTAACGCAATTAAAGCAACTATGACAAACTGATCGTTATAAAAACGAACACAGAGTTGTGGCACATACAACTAAGTACAGCAACTCAGATTTTTCCAAAATCATCGAATACTTTTCGCTTATTAGACTTCTAATAACTTCACATGGCTGATTTATGTCATACGGTGTCAGATGATTCTTGCTATGTAGTACCCTACAAAACGGGGTCTTGGGTCCACAAGCCGTGCTATTCAGGAATGCATAATCTGCGTCTTGGATCTGTAACAATGTGAAACTGATAAGTCTGAAGCTTAAGCTAGGCTCACACAATTCACTGGAGAAGGTGCGTTTCCAGTACAATTAAAACAATTCTTGGGCAATGGATTTCGACTATTTGTTTAAACTAAGTATGAGTTGTTGATCTCAACACGTAGAACAAGGCCGTCGAGGGACCCAAAATCACTTTACGACTAGTTTCCAAGTTTGACAGTCCATATCCTATTATAGCGTATTGCGGATTCGGTACCCGATGATATTTTTCCCCGTTCCTATAATCATCGTAATAGTCAGTCCACCAACATCATAGTCTTATCACGTGTATAAGGTGATACAAATGACTGGATGAAATATTGCCTCGAGAAACAAAATGGATTATCATGCACTGTCCCTGTACTAAGACATTTTACAAATATTTAGGCTCATGCAGGCAGTAGCGTAGCAATGTCTTGTGACATCCGGGGCGAAATTTCAACTTGACCCCCCCCCCCAGCAATATGTTGCATGCGCCCCGCACCGTGCGTTTCTATTATAACAAGTTGCGCAACTTGTGTTCGGCACTAATGCTTGCAACTTGTTCTATTAGAAACATTTCCTGGGAACGTAAATGACAGCGTTTATGAGCCCATTGCTTAGTTATGCCCTTTTCGAGTATGATAAAATTCATCGAACGATGCCTTTCCCAAAACTTAAAGTTCGCTTTCGCCAATTCATCGACATTGCTCCAATCCACGAAAAATGGATGTATCAGGTTCACACTGAGGGTCACTTTGAAGAACGTCATTATCGGTACTGATATTACAAGCCAAAATATTAAGAACAGCAATTTGTTTATCCATGGCAAGTTTCGTAATAGGTATATAGACACAGGCTGCTCTATAGCGGTTTTGAGTAGCATCTGTATTCAAAACAAACGAATAAATGGTCAAGGTTGAGCAAGCTCCTGTACTAGTTTTCTCTGAATAAGGAATTCATGAAAATTGGAAATCAGGCTGAAAAAATAGTTATTTTCCTAACAAGTGCGGAAAGCGATACTTTTCCGCAAGAGTGAGAAACAACATTTTTTCTATCAGCTACGAATAATTTCGTTGTGACTTCATAGTCCTAGTGTTGTTACTTTAATCAAATTCAAGCGAATAAATTATTTGCTGCATCTTTATTACTTGAACAAAAATAAAAAAGTCAAAAAGAGAAATAAAACGGGATGGTGGATGTTATCTATACACAAAAATTTAGTAAATATCATCCTTGACTGCTCCAGACTTCAACGATTTTTTATATTTATTTAGATGCGTTCTATAAAATTTTTGTTGTGATACTGAAAAGAAAAGTGAGGTTATGGCAACAAAAACTCGAAAAAATGAAAAATGTGATTCTGCTTGGGAGTTTGATGAAAAGCGATTGAGGGATATTATCAAGGAGTCTTTTCTGAAATACGAGTACTTAGGACCAGTAGAGCAGAAAATTGAAAGCAAAATCAAAGACCTGAGTGAATCTATTCAATACATGTCAGACTCTTTTGACGATCAAAAGCGGGCATTGGAAAGTGTCTTGTTGGAAAATAAGACACTAAAAAAGGAAACTGCGGACTTGAAGAAGAGACTTCAGATGTTGGAAGGGAGAGTCGAAGCCTTTGAGAACAAGGAAAGGACCAAGAATATGATAGTAGCAGGAGTGCCAAAACAAACCAATTTAGACATTAAATAAGTATAATGAAGATTTTTACAGCTATGCAAATACAAACTACAAACATGGTAATGGAGAGTTTTCGATTGGACAAAAATGGTGAAGGACCTATCTTGTTAAAAATGCAAAGTGAGCAGGCAAAAAGGGATGTCATCAAAAGAATCAAGGATTTAAAGGGTATATCTACAAGGCAATGTGGCTTAGAGGGAAGTGACAGAAAGATTTATTTCAACGAGGATCTGCCAATGTCTAAGAGGGTACTTTTCAAGATGGCAAGGGAACTTAAAAAGCAAAAGGGATATAAGGCAGCTTTTTACCTCAATGGATCTGTTTACATCAAAACAAATGAAAATGAGCAAGCCATAAAAATTAAATGTGAGTCTCATTTGGACAAATTAAGATAGTATAGGTATAGTAAATGTTTTAGGAGATCTATAACAGAACTTGTAAGTAATAATTTTCTCTTTTTTAATGGCTATAAACAGTATTTTTGATGATTATAAGATCTTAGAAACAAACATATGTGATAACTTATGTCAAGTAGACTTCTTTGATAATTCTGTAAGCGACCTTAATTTTATGCATGTAAACAGACGTAGTATTTATCAAAATTTTGACCAATTTTTGGTGTATCTTGAATCATTAAGTAAATCTTTCGATGTTATAATTATGTCAGAAACACACTGTGTATACAATATAGACGATTTTAACATTCCTGGGTACAAAATATTCTTTAACGAAAGTAGTCTTAATCGATGTGATGGATCAATAATTTTTGTTAAAAATGAATATCATATTACAAATCAAATAATTCAAGAAAATAATTTAAAGATTATTAGTGTCACTTTGCAAAAAAATCATGCAACGGTTGTTCTCCTAGCTACGTATAGGTGTTTTTGTATTTCAAAGGATGAATTCATTGAGTCTAGGAAGAATATTTCAACGTTCCATCACTGATCGGAACAAGGTTTATGTGTTTGCTGGGGACATTAATATTGATCTCTTAGATAGGGAAACAGATACAACAAATAACTATTTGACTTTATTGCAAGGCTATGGGTTAACGAGTGCAATTAATAAATCAACAAGAATTACTGATAACAGTGGGACTTGTTTGGATCACTTTTTTATTAAATGTAAGAGTAATGTTTTTGAAAAGGTTAGGGCTGTGATTTTGAAGAGTGACCTTACAGATCATCACCCCATTCTCCTTAATATTCAGCTAGATAGATTAACATAGGTGAGGGCATTACAAATGAAATTAATACTTTTACAAAAATAGATTATGAAAATATCACACAAAAACTAAACGGAGAGTTGTGGGGTGATGTTCTACAAGAAAATAATGTAGAGCTTTGCACAGAGGCGTTCATTAATAGACTAAAAGACATCATTTTGAAAGCCACTATAACTCGGCCTATACCCAATAAAAAAAAGAAATTAAAACCTTGGATCACTGGTGGGCTCCTAATATCTATTCGAAACAGAAACCTCCTTAAAAGGGAATGTGCACTAAATCCCAGCAATTTCGTAGTTTTTAACAGGTATCAGAAATACAGGAAATTTTTAAGTAAACTTATCAAGAAAGTGAAGTATAATTATTACAAATATTTAGCACAAAAAAACTTGGATAACCCCAGAAAATTGTGGAATGTGCTTAGAGAGGCCACCAATGACCAAGAGAGTAAACCAGAAATAAAATGTATCACTACCAAAACTAATTCAGAAATAACTGATAAAAAAGAAGTTGCAGATGAATTTAACAATTATTTTTGTAACATTGGTAAAAAATTAGCAAGTGAAATTACTAGAGGTACTTGGAGGAATGAAGTGCGGGAAAAAAAAGGTAATGAATCACTTTTCTTGTGTCCTGTGACGAATGATGATGTAATTAGGGAGATAAACTGTTTAAAGAATGGGATAAAAGGCGGGGAGGATAATATTTCATCAAATATAATCAAGAAATATAAAGAAAAACTTAGTATTCCATTGAAACACATAATAAACCTAGTTTTTGGTACTGGTATTTTTCCACAAATATTAAAAAAAACCAAAGTGATACCTCTTCACAAACAAGGAGATAAAAAAGACATGAACAACTATAGACCCATTGCATTAACTAGTACAGTAAGTAAAATTATTGAGAAATGTCTGAAAAGAAAATTAATGCAGTTTTTGGAAAAGCATAAATTACTCAACTTAAATCAGTTTGGTTTCAGAGAGAATTCTAACACTGAAGTTGCACTTGTCAGGGTCACTGAGAGTATTCTGAAAGGGCTAGACCAAGGAAAAAAGGTGATGGGTATATTTTTAGATCTAAAAAAGTCATTCGACACAGTGGCACATCCAATTTTACTAGGTCGTTTGGATAATCTGGGAATAAGGGGCATTCCAAATAAACTCATAAAGTCCTATATTTCTGGACGTGAACAAATCACAAATGTCTCGGGTCAGGAAAGTAATATTTTGAAGGTAGAATGCGGGGTGCCACAAGGTACGGTTCTCTCAACTTTGCTGTTTATAATATACATAAATGATATAATGGAGTAATTAAATGACGCAAACATAACTATCTATTGCTTTGCAGATGATACGAGTATTTTAGTAAGTGGTGAAGATTGGGATTCCGTCAAATTAAAAGCTGAAAGAGCATTGCACACAATTAAAAATTGGCTAGATTTTAGTTTGCTCTCTCTAAATATTGAGAAAACCAATTTTATGACTTTTTCCCTTTCCTCGCGTACTTTGCCTAATCTAAACTGCATTAAGATTCATGACTCATATTGTGACTTTGCACCTCAGTGTGCATGTAGCAAATATATAAATAAGAAATCGAGCTTGAAATATCTAGGAATAATTATAGATGAACTTCTTACTTGGAAAGATCATGTTGCGTATGTTACAACAAAGATTAGAAAACTTATTCACAAATTTCATGAATTAAGGGAAATATTAGACTTCAGAACTCTTAAAACAGTTTATTTTGCTTTAACAGAATCTGTAATTAATTATGGTTTCGTAGTTTGGGGAAATACAAGTTTAACAACGTTATCCAAGTTACAGGTAGCTCAGAAATGGATCATAAAAATTATGCTTTTCAAACAGAAACGATATTCATCTGAACTTGTTTTTAGAGACAGTAAAATACTGAACCTAGAGCAGCTCTATTTAAAATCACTTATAAGATTTATGATGAAATATGATTTATACAAAGAATACTTACAGCATGGCCAAAATACAAGAAGTGCTGCTCATGCAAAGTAAAATTGCAAAACCCTAGACACACAGCTTGCCAGAGTCACGTTTACTGTATAGGTCCAAAAGTTTATAATGATGTGCCAAATAGTATTAAGAGATTGAGATATTCAACTGTTAAAAAGGAATTAACAAGATGGATTATTGATAGTCAATACGCAATTAATTATGTAATATAAAAACCTGTAGTATTAAAGGTATTAAGTTCCTAAAATTTAAGATAAAACATAATAGCTTTGAATTTGTTTGATCTATTTTTATATTTCTTTTTCTCTTTGTAAACTAGAATTAAGAACCTCAATGAAAAAGTTACACTTAACAATGTGAATGGGGTGCACACACAGTATTTTGATACAATTGTGCATCTAAAACTATTAGCAATAGTGGGTAATTTTAAGAGTAGATAGCTGGATTTAAATATTATACAATAATTGTAAAGTCTATATATTTAATATGATGTAAAAAACTGTATACATGTTGAATCTGCTGCTAATAATAAATATATATATATATATATATATAATAAAAAAAAAATAAATGAAAATGGTATTTAGCATTTTGGATTGGTATTTACCGATCCCTTCAAGCGAGTGTGGTTATCGGTTTGGTTATAAGATTCGTGACGTCATGAATCAGCTGTTATATGTCATAGTTATCACCGCAAAATTGTGGTATTTACCAAAGCAGTAGTTTTATATTTCTGGTTTCTGGCTGACTTCATGCGTAGCATAAAGCAGAGCACCTTATTAGTTATACTCATTACTGTTGTTGGGGACACTTTAAATCCAGTTCCTATACTTAAAAAAGAATCCTGTGTAGCCAGATACCACAAGAATATTAAAATATGGCCATATAAACTCACTGAATAACGTCCACATGTAAGCGGCTTTGCTAATATCTTTTTTCATCGCTTTTTTCTATCTTTTCTGCTAAATCTGTAAATGTTTTATTTGGCATGAGGAAAAGCTTTGAGAATTGAAAGTTATCATAGCTACAAAGCCATGGTTCCATCATTAAAACTTATTTACTGATAAAAAAATGTCTCCCATTACTATTATAAAAGGTTTCTTTTTCAAACTTCCCATACACTGTTGTAGACGAAAAAGCACCGATTAAGTGATATAAAAATAATCAGAAATTATATACGCGCTTTTCTAAAATAAACAACTTTCAACAAAACCGCGGTTAAAACTAACGCGTTCAAGCGATTCAAGTAACTGATGTCATCAACCCGTGTGTCATCTTAAACCATATTATAACCGCGGTACTTAACCCAGAAATTTTGGTTATTCTCTTGGAGTTAATTTTTCTCTCGAGTTAACCAAACATAGTCACTCAGCCTTCAGAATGTGACAGTTCCATTTCATGGTGTTTCACTTTTTCGCATTGAGAAATAGAAATAGAAGTAGCACCGAGTGTTGAATTTAATCATTGTTTATAATATGTCATTGTCAACATAAATGAAATGGAGCTGTCACATTCTGAAGGCTAATTGAATCTGATACTTGGTTAATTCGATAACCGGCACGAGTATTACGTATCTTGAAAAGTGACACTGATCGGTTTTGATTGACATTTTATAGGTTTTTTCTGACATAACGGCTCTTCTACAAGACGTCAACTTAGCTGATGTACACTTGTTATGAACTCGTTTGGTAGCTGTACGTGTTGCCTAAACGTCATGATGCTTTAGCTATCAATGTTTTGCTTCAGAGATAGCGTTATTGGAGGTCTAAGCTGTAAGTTGTATAGTGAATAGTGAGGAATTGCTAGAAATTAGTTGCGCATCTCATTTTTCTTACTCATTCTGGATATCACATACGCAAATTTGCTGAATTTCAAAAACGAGAGAGAGAAGAAAAGAAAATCCCTAGTTAGTGACAAGTAACAGTTGAGAAAATGTGCTACATATGAAACGTAAAAAAGTTATTACTTTACAGAAAGGTCGACATAAAATGACCCGTCCGGCACAGCTTATAGATTTACTTCATTGGCAGCATATTCAGTAATAATTTTCTCACATAGCAAATATCACTGATTTTATACACATGCAGACCAATATACATAATCATGCAGTTGCGAACTTGCTACTCAAACAACTTTCTTTCCTTCACATCTTCACAAAGTTAAACACTAAAGACTCCTCGGCTTTCTGCAACCAACAAGCGTCCAACAATGCATATCGTATCGTCGAATCATTTCTAAATAAATGGACGCCTTTGATAGCGCTCACAGCGGTCATAGCGAGCAAACCTTGAATGTACTATTTGCACACTAAGAACTATACTCTGGGCGCTGAAGAAAGACATTAAACGTAAACAGTGGTCAGCACGTGAACAGATCCCTCGAAAGCATCCACGGATATACTCCAGTCACTTTAGGTCTAAACATCCTCGGCAGTGTATTTCTAGTGAATCCACAGACCCTTTTTCGTGTCATCTTGAGACTAGAAAAAGGATGACTGTTAAAATAAGTTACCTTGATCTTTCATGAGCTCTCAGTACAAAACATCATCGATATATTTTTGATGTAGGAACAACAAATTGGTTTAGAAAACATCCACTTTGAACCTAAATTGACTGGAGTAACATCGATCTACAAATTCAAGGTCACTAGCAGTCGTCGGCGCTCTACGAATCTGCACAGGTTTGGACTTGTAAACGTGATTGTAGATGACACGACAGGCATCTAACAGTTAATTCACGCACAGGATTGCATTGCATACGCATTACGCATTCAGTAGCGTATACTCGTTTTTCGCGAGTGGAACGTTTTGTTTATATATTGCCTAAGATACGATGTCTGACACAGATACAGCCGACGAAGTGGTTGACATCAGCGCAACCCCACCCAAAAAAAGGGCTAAGAAGCTACATTTAAGTGCAAATGAAAAACAAATAATATTAAATATATACAAAAACCAAATTCAAGAAAAACCCGATTTGGTCGTGGACGAAGTTATATGTAAGGTAGCACATATTTCTGGAGTATGTCGGTCCAGTGTTTATAGGATCATTAAGGAATATAGGAGCACTCACTCACTTTCTGAGCCAAAACCGTATCCTGCAAGAAAAAGGATAACGGACGGAGTAGATGACTTTGACAGAACTGCCATCAGGAGGAAAGTGCATAATTTTTTCTTCCGAAATGAGATACCTACAGTAGATAAGATATTAAGATTAGTTAATGCTGATGAGGATCTTCCATCATTTAAAAGAACCACATTCCGAAAACTTTTGAAGGAACTTAATTTTCGATTCTTGAAACGGGGAAGAAACAGTATGTTAATAGAGAAAGAAGAAATTGTTGTGTGGAGAAGGGAATACCTTAGGAAGATTCGGAAGTTTTGCGATGAAAAAAGAAAAATTTACTATTTGGACGAAACGTGGGTGAATGCTGGACATACTCAAGCGAAAGTTTGGGTCGACAAATCAGTAACATCATCAAGGCAGGCTTTTCTAGACGGTCTTTCGGCTGGATTGAAAAATCCTGCAGGTAAGCTCCTTCATCTATCCGGCAATTTAATTTTGATAAATTCGGGCAAATAATATGCTGTGATAGCAGATAATGTGTGATATTCTCCAAAAATGGTGCATTCGCAGTGTAGTCATTAGGAAAAAAACTTCGACCCTCTTTTAAGCGTTATTTTGAAATTTATTATCATTTTTGGGTGCAGTCAATTTGCTTTGAATGGGTTTTGAGAAGTTGCAAACTTCAATTTTCTACGTTTTTCAGTTTTTGATCAGCATTCCGTGACTCTTAAATTCAGCTAAATGAACTCAATTGCCTCATTCCTTCAAATTTAATCAATCCATAGTGTAAGGAATAATTTATTTCCAGGAAAAGGCAAACGGCTGATCATTTGTCACGTAGGTAGTGAAGACGGCTTTGTTCCCGAAGCACTGTGGGCCTTTGAATCAAAAAAGACAGGGGACTATCATGAGGAGATGGACGGCAATTCCTTTGAAAATTGGTTCTCCAAAATGTTACTAAAGCTGGAGAATAACGCTGTTATCGTACTGGATAATGCCCCGTACCATTCTAGAAAAATAGAAAAAATTCCCACAATGGCAACTAAAAAATCAAACATACAACAATGGCTGGCCTCAAAACAGATCGATTTTGATGAAACAATGGTCAAGGGTGAATTGATAAGTATAGTCAATAGACATAAATACAAATACGATTTTAAAATGATCGACGAAATGGCCAAAAAACAAAATAAAAGTGTCTTGAGACTGCCACCCTACCATTGTGAGCTGAACCCTATTGAGCTGATTTGGGCCAACATAAAGCAATACGTGGCGTCGAATAATAATACTTATAAATTTTCTGATGTTAAAAATCTCTTTCACATCGCAGTCAATAGAGTTACGGCAGAGGAATGGAAAAACTGTATCCGCCACGTTCGGGAGAAGGTTGAGGTCAAAATGTGGGATTTGGACAATGTCATCGATACCCAAATTGAACCTCTAATAATTCATTTAAACGATTCAGAAGAATTCAAGTTCCTCTTCTGAATGAGTGCGCGCAGCTTACTTACTAATAACTAAAAAGTGTAGTTAACTCATTTGTGAATCTCTAACTGAAATTTACTGTAAAAGATAATAATTATCTTGTATGAAATTTTTGATGACTACCCATAATATCTTGATGCGGTCCTGTAATGTCTCCTGCGCCTAAACACTCACTCACGAGCAATATGCATGTATTTGTTTGGGTTTAGTTTCTTTCTTCAGCGCCTAGAGAATAGCTAGCCTGCAAGATGACATTTTGTCGTTCTTTATGCTTTGTGGGTTTTTTACATAATACCCCTGCGAGAGGGAAAATACCAGTACTAGGACTATCAAGCAATAATGAAATTATACTTAGCAGGTAAAGTGACAGCACGTTTGCCTGACGACCGAGTTGAATAAACAATCTTTACGATGTCAACTTGACAAGATAAAACAATACGAAGAAACAGCATCACCGTCCCATTGTTGGGAAAATGACTATTTCAAATCAAATACGTCAACGTCTGCTAACAAGTACAAACATTCAAGCTCCTGTTAATGACTGATGGAACCATTAAACTAGGATAAAGCATTTTTTTGGATATTTTTGCATACACAAATTCGACGAGCACGAGTCGGAGAATTTCTAATAAGGCGAAGTTTTGGTAGTTTTTGGATACTTACTGACAACAAAGAGAAATAGCTTATTTTCTCTTGAGAGAACACCTTAATAACTGCTCTAACTACTAACGCAATAGTGATTATAGATAAAACAACCATAAGCATCAGCAGACTGCACGTTAGTTGATTGTACACTGCGCTAAAATTGAAGGAATTTCAAGTGATGGATCCAATTGGCTTATAAGCATTTTCCTGAATACCTCAAGTTATCTGGAAGCATGGTATGTTCCTTGTTGAACACGGCAATGAACCGTTCGTGCATTATGTAGGTTCCAAACTCCGCAATTTCCATAGAGTCATAGTTGAGAGTACAACCACCGATTGCCATGTCGATATCTCTTGTCTGCAACTGAAAGATTTAAAGCTAAATGTTAAACTTGGTTATCATCTAATAAATAACACCTTACAAAATAAACTCCGACATGCGTCATTTGTTGCCCTCGTCAACGTGTGCACATTGGTGGCGCAGAATAATCGTCACTCCACTGGTGTTAATCTCATATTGAAAAGGGGATTCATGAGAAAATCGCTGGACATCTTTATTTAACTCAATTCGTTCTGATAGAAAACAAAAACGCACGAAAATATCACTTTTTATTTCAATAAGTGTCCAAATTGTTGCCCGTTAGAGTTTGCCAAATCTGCAATTCGTTTATAATCTAAAACGGGAACTATCAACATAAACAGCAATTCAGAAGATTAGACATGGCAACAAATAAATAACAACCCGAATTTTTTTCCACATCTTTTTCTTCAACACAGATACCCTGGGCGAACTGTATTTATTGTTATACCTGTTTAGTTATTTGCTGCTAAGGGAAATAAAGAACTTAATTTGCTCTTGGGATAGTGAAAATTAATCTATTGATTCAGATTTTACTTCTAAAACGGTTCATACACTAGCCGAAAGAGTGTAAATGATTCTAATTTGTGCTGCCCAAAATCAATGAGCTAGGCACACTGTCGTTACGTTTAACGCCAGACATCTGAGAACCTTGTTACTAAATTTACTCGAATTTGATCTGTTGCAAATAAAAAATGCGATCAACGGAGAGTTTTGGATGAAGCCGCTAAAGTTGATGTTCTGGGTCATTTTCGATTTTGATAAATCCGTGGTGGGAAGGCTTCAAATGTCTTTGGGGGATATTTTTCAAGGAAAATTTGCTTATCTTCACAGGCACTACTGGCTTACCTTATAAAGTAACCGCTTTGTATAACTGAGGTTCCGATTGGTCGAGTTTGATTCAACCAAATTAATTGTAAAGTTCAACTTTTTACTTACAACAATTGCCATTTTATACTCGAAACCTTGTGTTGTTGGCTCTTTGAACCTTCTTGATGTACTAAAATAACGGAAAACGAATTCCTTTAAATTTCTGTAATTATGAGCATGTGTTGTATATCTAACATTCAAAATCCAAAAGAGGATCTTCCAGATCGCTTTGATACCGAAGATTTTTGTTAAGCTGCTGCTTTGCGCACAAGCCACTAAGGAATAAGATTGTCTGTGGTACAATTTTGTTCTACTTGAACCTTACTGTGCTTAGGTTGATTAATAGGAACTGTACTGTTTTATAGACCAAAAGCTTTTACAAATATTATGCTATCATTCCATTTGTAGAATATCGAAATTCTTTAACATTATCATCAATCCCTTTGACTTTCGTATGACCGATCTATACAGGGTGATTTGTAATGTCACGTATTCCTGTTAAGGGGTGATAGATTTGGTCAAAAGCAACCGATTTTGTCCTATAATGTCCTATCCAGAAGTTAACCGTTTTTGAGTTATTTGAATTTCATTTTTTTTATTTTTTATTCCGATTTCAGCCGGTTAAAATTGAAATAGAAAAAAAACTGCATGCTTGATTTTGAGTTTCTTATTATCGTCGCATAGCAGACATTCCAATAGTTCATAATAAGTAATAAAATGTTGAAAAGCTACAAACGTTTTAAAATTACGCTTTTTGAATGTATCATTTTCTTATTTTTTTACTAACTTATCCGATAAAAAATGCAATTTTCTGTAAAAAATCTACTAGTAATGAAATGTGCAAATTATGTAAATAATATCTCTATCTAACAAGCTTTCATTTGAGGTATCAAACGTTCAATTATCTGAAGTATATGCAGAGAAACAACAATGACACCCACAGAGGCTGGATTTTTAAGGAATTTGTATTACCTGTTTGAACAAGTCGTTACTGTCCTCAAAGGACTCGCATGCCATGATTGTTTTATGGCATCGGCTCGACGAGGAAGCGAGCGAGAAGAGATGACTTAGTGGAGGAGTGAGAGAGAGAGAGAGAACTGTTATTATTCATCATTGTAGTTACGCCATCGCCGCACGCCGAGTGAGAGTTAGGTTTAGTTGGTATCAACTACTGCGTACGCGCACACGTTCATTTCGAGTGGTTTCTTTATCATCATGGCAGACGCAGAAGATCCGCCAGGACCTCGTCATAGCGAGCACGGACAAACTTTTACAAATGAAGAATACGCAGACATAATGTTCTGTTATGGATTATGCAGCTGCCCGCCGTGAATATCGGCAACGTTTCCCGAATTGCCGAACACCTCATGTTACTGTGTTTGACTCGGTGTATATGCGCATCCGCTAAACCGGACGTGTTCAAAGGCAACATAGTGATGCTGGTCGACCCCGAGTCTATCCTCCTGAAGATGAAGAGGAAATCCATCGTCTGTTTCAGGAAGACTCTACTACGTCTACGCGCATTGTGGCTGCTCAGTTGGGTATATCACAATACAAAGTATGGTTTACTGTACATACTGCAAGATTATACCCTTATCACTACACGCCTGTGCATGTGATTGAAGAGGGCGATCCTGCAAGACGATTAGATTTCTGCAGGTACATGTTACAAGCAGATACAGAAGATCCAGACTATTTCAAGAAAATTCTGTGGACCGATGAATCGAAGTTTGATAAGGACGGGATCACTAACTACCATAATGCTCATTACTGGGCTGATAAAGATAAAGAAGCTTTAAACCCCCGAAAAATAAGACCGACGGGGTCTCAGAGCCGGTTTTCAGTCAATGTGTGGATGCGCATCATTGATGGATATTTAATTGGACCTCATTTTCTGCCTGCCAATTTAAATGGAGAAGTTTATGAAGAGTTCTTGAAAAATCACTTGTTTCCATTAATGGAAGACGTCCCATTGGCGACGACACAAAATATGCGGTTCCAGCACGACGGCTGTCCCGCACACTACAGTAGATTAGTACGGGCTTATTTAGACTCTAAATTTCCAAATCAATGGATTGGCAGAGGCGGGCCCATTGCCTGGCCAGCAAGAAGCCCAGATCTCATACCGATGGATTAGTATGAGTGGGGACATATGAAAAGCCTGGTGTACGATGTTTCGCCCGTACCAACGCGCGATGAATTAATTACAAGGATAATCAGTGCAGCTGACCAAATAAAAAGCCGCTTAACAACTAGAGTTACCAAAAGTGAATTACGTAAGAGAATGCGGGCGTGTATTCGTAACAGGGGATTACAATTTTAGCAGAATCTGTAAAATACTAAAGGAAATGTAATTAAATAAAACTGTAATTAAAATAAAAGCCTTTTATTGATCCTACGTAATTATCGTTCGTACAAATTTACTCATCTTTTTTTAATTTTATGTCTTTGTACTTGAGTTAGTTGTAACTTTTATACCTCAAATGAAAGCTTGTTAGATAGAGATATTATTTACATAATTTGCACATTTCATTAGTAGGAGATTTTTTACAGAAAATTGCATTTTTTATCGAATAAGTTAGTGAAAAAATAAGAAAATGATACATTCAAAAAGCGTAATTTTAAAACGTTTGTAGCTTTTCAACATTTTATTACGTATTATGAACTATTGGAATGTCCGCTATGCGACGATAACAAAAAACTCAAAATCAAACATGTTGTTTTTTTGTATTTCAAATTTAACCGACTGAAATCGGAATAAAAAATAAAAAAAACTAACTCAAAAACGGTTAACTTCTGTATAGGACATTATAGGACGAAATCGGTTGTTTTTGATCTAATCTATCACCCCTTGACAGAAATACGTGACATTACAAGTAATATAATAATATAAAAGAAGCATATTGTCATACTTAGAAACTGTTCAATGACGTAAGCCTTTTTAGTATGCATCTTTATGCATTTTACGAGTAGAATTAACGTTTAGGAATGTACTAATTTGCGTTTACTACCACTGCACTAACGGTACTTTCTGTTGGATCTCTGACATACACACATAGGGGTTTTCTAGTATCATGATTCAATGAAACAATTTTTTGTACGAGTGTTTATTTGTTTATTATAAATTGTGTAGTGTTTCTCTTGTATCCGTTGAAAGATGTACGAATAAAATATTGTATACTTCAGAAGCTTCTATTGAAGCGTAAATTATGCAGTGTCATCTATTTACAAATAAAAATACAAGCTCGTGATACCTTTAAGACATCTTGGAACCCACAGCCTAATTAGTTCAATTTTCTGTTTGGTATAAGTACTGAACATACCTTTTCACTCTCCTGAAAATATGTGGTGGAAATGTTGTGTACCCAACCTTCAAACCATAACCACCGAGATTAGAAAAATTGTTCATCAGTTTTTCAAGCTGCAGTTGCCCATTTTCTTCAGTATATATTCTCTTCATACGCACAAGCTTCTTTTTGTAGTAGCATTGACAGTAAAACAATTCATTTTCTGTAAGGATCAACGCCAAAGCTATTTGGCATGTGCCAATATATCCAGAGCATTTGAAGGTATCGTTGTTGGTAATGATTAGAGAAATATCCATGAAGTTGAAGTAGTCTAGAGGGAGTTGATTTGGAAAAGCAAAAAATAGGTGAAAACACCGCCTACAATATGGCTTTGTAAGTGTTGGCCATGATGTGTCCAAGTCCATTGTATATGCGACACGTGCTTTCCACATATGATGATTGATAATAAAATCTGAATAGGTCGAGTTTCGGTAATATATACACATATCATATGTCCTAAACTGATCAATAATCATATTTACAGTTGCAGTATTATTTATTTCTCCGTCTGGTAAGAATAGGACATTAGCTCTACAAACAGCTGGAGATAATATTAAAATAACTTTGAACAAGCTCATTTCTGGAACTTCATCGTTACTTCCGTGCATTTTATCAGTACTCTCGTACAATTCTGACACTAAATTGATGATTTTCAAGAAATGTTTGGGTTTCCCATTAATAATATAGTTCTTTTCAGGATACTGCACATGATACCCACATATCTGTGAACAGCGGGAAGAAGTTATAATTAAATTAAAGCAAAAAGATGCATGGCTATTTGATTTAAATTTTTTCCGGAATCAGTGAATCAAGATCCTTTGAACAATTTTACCATCAATTTAATTTGATCTGTTAGCGTCGTGCATTGTAACACAATACTTACCTCCATGCATCTTTACGGTATTATTTCATCTAGTCTTCTAGTCCATACAATATATCAATTAAAAAAATGATGTTCTTATGAAGTGAGTAATATTTCAAGGTAGATGTTAACACCACTAACAAATGTTGCAAAAAATTCCATTATGATAAAACACTTTGTCAACGATATGAACATCAAAGAGAACAAACATCATAGAACTCACGCATAGAACGGACTTCCTGAATCGGGCATCGATATTAGACGCATGTCCGTTATATGCATAAAAAAAAGTATCATATGTGAATAGCAATAAATCTTGACTCCATAATTGAGCCTTCATAGGGAAAGCTGCTTACAATCCATCATTAAATTACATTATGCCCTATTCTATTGTGGTAAACAACTCAATGGATCTCTACGACCAGCCTTTGCATGCGATATACCTGCAGTACATGCGTGTTGGTACCTTGTAACGTAAACTTTTAGCGACACGTGCCTGAGCGTCCGCAAGGGAGGGTTAAGGAAGGTGGTGGCCGCCTGGGACCTTGAAATTTGCACATTTATCACGTTTGTGTTTTAGGATTCAGATGACCTGAACAAACTTGCTACCACCGGTCTTTAAAAAGTTTTGGGACTAGGTATACTTTCACAAAAAGTTACCTCTTGTCAAAGATCGCCCCCCTAAGCAAAATTCCTGCGGGCGCCCATGTAACGCCAAACAAATAATTATCAAATGATTTAACGTTTACATGCAAGACTTTGAATGTCTGAGGTAATATACTCTGTTGGTTTGTGTTTGAACATCATTTGATAGTAAATTGTGAAGGAATAGGACGAATACTTTCATACTATCCATATGAGAATGCTATACTGCTTAAAAATAGGCTTGCATTAGGATAGAGTATGCAAGTACTGTTATTTGGTTGGTTTTTGGGTAGTTAGGCCGTCGTAAAATATTATTATTTGACGTTTCGCCTACACGCGGCTCGATTGGTGGGGAGAGCTCTTCGGGAATCCTCGGCTGGCACCGCGCTCGGGATGACTCCGCTATTGTTTTGCCGTTTGGATGACGCGACTTTTGCGTTTTTTAATTCTGGTAGCCAGGTTTTGTGTACTTTCAGTGATTCCTCTGTTTTATTAAAATTGTCCCTGTGTTTGTGTATTTCTACTACTCAAAAACCAACCAAATGTTTTAGTGGACATCAATAATTTGAACCCGCTGGCAGAGTCTGCCTAGAAGTAACCTCAACTATGTTATTTCATTTATTTATAAAAATAAAGGCAACGAACGAGAAGGATATTTCTAAATCTTTAATTTGATAACTTCTAGGTTAAGTCAAAGTCTCTTATTTTTTTAATGAAAGTGGAAATTTTACGCCCAAATAAAATTCAAGCTTAACTTGACCTTAACTTTATCTTTGAAAGCGTTTTCTGCTGTTTCATCTCCAGTATGTAAAATGAGAGGTTTCCTCTGATAATTGTGACTTGACTTGGTCAAGGTCATGATCAAGATTATCTTTGAGTGATCTCCACAAGCTTTACAACTGGACTGTCCAACTTTGACCTCGAAATAGTCTTGAAGACAATGGTCAAGACCATAGCCACGGTGATAAATACACATAAAATTTGCCCCCTTTTCAATTCTAAAATGAAAAAGAGAGTGCTCCAACTGAAAATATATACTTGACCTTGAATACTTCATCAAGGTCATTGTCAAGGTTATCATCATTTTGCCCCTCGAAATCCTACTTTCGTTTGAAACTTTTTTTTATAGAAAGTGCAGTTTTTGTAATGTTTTGGTGGGGAGATTGAATTGTGACACCGTATATAGGATAACGGATAACTTACAGATGCACTATGATGTTTATTTTGTTTTGCACCAATAAATGATTTTTTCGCATAAAAATGTTAAAATTGAAAATGAGCATCCAAACAGTAGCACGTAGAAGGGATGTCGCAACTGCCTCATGCTCAAAGGTTTCCTGATAGTTGAATCCTTGCTTTCAAACATTTCTCGATCCGGTCGTTGCTCGTCAGCCCTCAAAAGACAAAACATATGGATGATATATAGTTGGTGCAGATCTCACTGCATTTTTCATTCTGGTACGTGACAATAGTACCACAAGCTTTCAGAGCGAAAGAGTATGACAGTTTATTTCACGAGTATCCATCACGTTTTGACGTCTACAGAGGTAAACAGCTGATCAGCAAGTAACATTTTTGTGTTAGTCTGTGATTTTCGGAATAATGAATTGGGTGTAAATCTGGTAAAATTCAGGGCCGCATTCAGAGCCGTTTATACCAAACGCTATGTTTTGTTCACATATTCAGATACTTTCAGTAACTGGCAATTTTGCCAGTAAAATATACGAAGAACATTAAAAAAAATTTTGTTAGAAAATTATTCAGTACATCTGAAATAAAACTCAAATATATAACTCTGTCTACCTGGTTTTGACTGACCTGTCAGAATTGTGTGTCCTTTGTCGATATGGAGAACTTTTAAATGTTACCAGATAATCAGCTGTTATTCTACCCTAATAGAAACTCGTGAAAAGCACTGAAAACGGCTTTATTCAGCTTCTATTGTAGACAATACCACAGTACTGATGATAACACCCCACATTTCTTTCATACGTCTGAGATCAGAACAATCTTTTTGGATGTTTTCTGAGCTGCTCCATCAACAGGGCGTGCGAGGTCAAAATTTGAAGTCACGGAGGTGAAAAAGGGTAAATAACTAAAATAAACTATTTTAAGGTTTACCACTCCGTTTGACATAGTTAACTCATGGAGTGTAATGAAAATTCTCGATAGAAGCCCTAAAAGGAGTTCAACGCAAATCTGGAAGTACTATGAATCGATATAACCCCATACCAGGGATGAGAAGGGGTCCTGAAATAATTTAGGCGATATCTCTGACGAAAAACAAAATGACCTTATACCTCGGATTTTTAGATTGAGCCCTCCCGTTTTAACTGAAAAAAATTGAAAATTTTCTGTGTTTTACTATTTGGCAGGAAATTGTTACTTAAAGATTCAAATCTATTTCCACCTTAAACATGCTGCTTGAGCCCTCCCGATCAAAGACAGTCAATCATAGTCAGCTGTTTCGTGCTCTTTGGCTACTCGTTAGTATGGTCCACCCGGAAGGGCTAGATCTGAAAATTTCGATGAAGTCTATAGTGGTTATATTTTTCATCGTTTTTTTTTTTAGTTTTTACTCGTTTTCACCCCTGTAACTTCAAGTTTTGACCTTGGTCTCACTGAAGCAATAGATAATCCGAATTGAGGGGCCCCAAAACTGATCTCAGGCACATGCAATTCTTGTATGGGTAATATTAGAGGTATTGCAGCAATATGTCACACACACAGTCATCTCTGACTCTATCAATTCAACTCATACAATATTGTAAGTTGCTCAACGATATTGCTCTGTAAAACCTCGAGACGGAATTGGTATGATACACACGACACAACGTGCGCTGAATACCGGGAGACAAGCTGTCCCATAATGCGATTATACTCCATACAATTTGTGTTTTGAGAATCATGTCGCTTCTGATTTCCATCCATTTCAGCGTATAACTGACATATTATTCGTAATCTACGCATACTTTACCACGTAACACTTTAACAGGTTTCTCCTTTGCCTTTAAAGTTCTGAATTCCATATCCTGCAGTTACAAGGGAATGAAACTTGGTTCACTGAATTAGTTACGCTGATTTCAAATAGTGGTATCAAAAAATTGCGATGACCTATTTTGAGTAGAAAAAAGGGACTTTCTCTATTTCTCTTCGAAAAATTGAATGATATCCAGAATCGGTGGCATTTTGCGGCTACAGCGGTGAATCGTAGTGGTCGATTCGGGTAACAGATGGCACTGTGGTATCTTATTTTAATAGATCTTTTAGTCTAATCATATCAGACAAAAATTCCCCTGGTTTGCGAAATAATTGTAAAGTCTGGTTTTATTGCTGCAAGTTGTTCAAGGGTGTGAGTATTTAAAACATGGACGCATAAAATGGGTACCGCAATTTTTGTGGGAAAACTTTTTATTCGACAACAAAGATTGAGATTTTTTTCGGGACTTGGAGACTCTATATCTGCCACTAGTAAAATCAGCAACTAGCATTGTTTTTTTGGGATTCCTAACTACTTACCAAACCCTTATTAAACCATTCTCATGTAGTCTCATAACCATTAATTTGAATCTATCGGCATATGGGGCTGATTTTTGTAAAAACCATGTTTGGTAGCCATTTCCTATGTCCAGCTTAATATAGCGAAGTTTGGTATACCACGACATTGGAAGCATGCATGCGTTTGATTTCTGTCAACAACAAATAAAATTATGATTCGGTGGTATAAGAACGGTTATACTACTATAACTATAGTACCCAGGAATTGCTGTTCCGAGTTATCACAGTGCGAGCATTGAGCGGAGGCACTGGCGCAGACACTATAACTTGTTGACGTTTTGGTTACCGCGTGATATTGCTTGCTGTTATTAGTTAACGATAGATACATTTATTTAAACCAGTTAATGAACAAGAAGATCAAGTGTGTGCTGCTAGGAAAACTTCTTTGAATCTCACAGGATTAGTGTTGAAAATAGCTATTAAGGTCAAGTCTGTGGTAAATTTTCACGAACGATCTTGAGTTCACTCGTTAAAACTTATCCAAAGATCTGACCTTGTCAGTTATTTTTTATTAGCAGTTCACATTTGGCCCTTATGTGACCTCTGGTGGTCACCTTGACTTTGAATTCTAACACACATTCAGATAAAAATAAATTGATAATCACAACAGTTTTTTCCTAAATTACAGATTGGCTTATGGATCAAAAAATTGTTCAATACTATAAGGAGCTATTTTTTAATCCAGCCACATATTTACACATAAGAGTTTTGAAGTTTTGTTCCAATTTTTTTAGTTTTTCAATACGGTGTCGTGGAATTACTATTTTATGTTTTTCTCTAGTGCCATGGTTGTGTATGTCAGACTGTTGATCGTATTCATGTTTATTTTGTTTGATCCAAAAGTTGATCCTACATGGGTAGTCGTGTTTGGCTTTGGCAATGCTACAGCCTTCTGGATCATAAAAGCTCTTCGTAAGCTTCAGTGCGATAAATAACATATACAACCTGAAATGGCAGTTTTTACGTACAATGAAGTACAGCAACTGACTTTTTTCCAAAATCATCGAGTTCTTCTTACTGATCAAGGTTTTAATGGCCTCACATGGTTGACTTGGGACATACATAGTCATGTTCTGGCTGTGTAGTATTCTACAAAACGGATTTGACTCACCACAGACTGTGGCATTGAGGTGTGCATAGTCCACGGGCTTAATCTGCAATTATACAGGGTGTCTCAAAATGTGTGAGCAATTTCTCGTACTCAGATAATATGGTTCTTTTCAACAATGATATTCTTTCAGTCTCGAACGATCATTTACGATCAGTCCATAACTAGGCAACATCACTTGGTTAATGTAACTTCTAAAACTTATACTGCGTTCTTTTGTTCATAGGACTCCATAAACTTGCCGAATCACACCACATATATGTTTCAATTTCTGTTTATTGTACGATGCTCTTACAGAAAAGAGATAAAGAAATCGGTGAATATTAAATTAAGCAACAATTATTGACTTTTTAGTTCCTCTTTGGAGTGTGGCCCAATTTGGTTGATTAGGAAAGGTCTGAGTGATATTCTTCAAATCGACTGATGTATCATAAGCTTTTCACTTCCAGGTTCTTTATTATGGTGTCTTATTCCAATTAGAAGATCTATATCAAATATGTAGACGTAGAAGTACTACTTCCTCCATTTGAGATTCATGAGCAATGCACGTGCAACAAGTAGTCTATGAGTGCATCAATCAACCGGTATGTTGCAACAATAGTCTTGGGTGGGCTTTTTGCGTTCTCGGGGGGCGTGTAGCGTTTTCGGGACGACGGGCGAGGGTAGCGTGTCTGGCAAATCGGAAAAACGGAATAACCCCATGCTCGCTTGTCGTTTTGGGAACTGGTTGTGCTTTGGGTAACGGGATGCCTACCTCTGGTTTTATGCGGTGCCTTTTTAAAATTGCAATAATGCCTTCGCGTGATCTTGGCAAGCTACAGGATCGTTTGATGTATTGTTGCAGCACACTGTATGGGAACGATGAAAAGAAGAAATGAACGACCTGTCACCCCAAAGACAGCTAAACCAAATATAGTATTATTATTGTCATTGCACTTGGAAAAGGCCACCGTGATAGCTGAAACGTTGAACAATAAACAGAACTGAAAAGATCTGTGGTTTGATTCGACCAGATCGGCAAAATCATATCACTAATTTGTTTGGATGTCTGTATTTGACAGTCCCAGGCAAATTCCTGATTATAATAAGTTCCGGCTTTTCAAGAATATCGCCTTTGAAGTATTATTATACATGAACTAACGATATTGCGTTCCGGCTGGTAAATCTAGTTTTCGATAGACGCAAGTACGTAAGGCGTCATTGCTTCATAAACTAGATACTTCCAATGCTGGCTTTTAAGGGATTGTTGTAAGAGAGTCCATTAAATATATTTTTTTCAAGGGGAATAGATTCAAAACGCTCACACTTTTCTGAAGAGGCCTCACGTGACTTACCAAAAACTCAAAATTAGCTTCTGCTAGATGATCGACATATCTCCAGCCGACGAAAGGCTCACTGATGAGATTTGCACTTAAGGCGACTTTGAAAAAAGTCACTATTGCTATTGATATTGCTAGCCAGAATAACAAAAACAGTAGTCTGCTTATCCAAGGAAACTTTCGTAGCACGTGCTCAGAAACGGATTGCTCTATAGCGCTTTTAAGTAACATCTACAATAGATAAATAAATTAGCATTCAATGAACCATACCAGATTTTAAAAAATACTAGCACATAGGAACGTTATTTTCTATCTCAAAGTATTTATAAACTTCTCAACATTATCAAATAGCCTTTGAATTTTTAATCTCTTACAAATTTTATCTTTGAGAACTTTAAAAATGCCGAAAATCATGTTAACTCTGATAACAACTGTTACAGCCTCTGTATAGCACAAATTTTAAATCCTCCTTTGAGCATTCTTTAAGGAAGCGTGGCTTTTTTTCAAAAATCCAATGAGAGATCATTACTCAAACGACACCTCAAGAAATCCGGGGTACAAAATGCGCGTACAACACAAACTCGACCAAAGAGAAGGCGTTTTTGAGGTAACGGATCTGATGAATATATCCCGAATTCTTGTAAAATATCTCTCAGACTAGAGAACAAGTACACGATTTGTGTAAGATGGGCCGTTAAATTATTATACTAAATCAAGAAATACTATGCAAATCACCTGACTTAGCTATACAAACCTACTTTTTCATTTGCACCAAGATTGCGGCTTTGGGCACAAAATCCACCAATCAGAAAAAAAAATCGAAATACCTTTATTTGCCAAAAAACAGAAACAAAAAAAACATTATATTTACAGTATTATAGAAAATACACACACTTAATAATATTTTTGGCAAAAAAGAACAAATTCTCGATCAAATGACCGTTAACACCCAGCCTTACATAAGCAGGGTGGGTGTGAAAATGCCCTGTGTTACACTAATTTACACATATATTATAATATATATAAATTTGAAAAAACGATTAAATCTCTATTTGAGTCGATGGAACGGTCGATATAATTTAATGTTTAAAGATTATTTCATGTAAATGTTGGCCGCGGCTCCGCTTTAGATGGCTCATGCGCAAGGTCCAATTTTGGCACACTCTCTCCAACATATCAGCCGGTATCTCACGAATAAATGCTTCAATATTGGCTTCCAGTGCGTCAATCGTTGCTGGTTTATCCCTGTAGACATTAGCCTTAACATGGCCCCACAAGAAATAGTCCAAAGGCGTTAAATCACACGATCTAGGCGGCCAATTGACGGGCCCCAAACGTGAGATAAACTGTTCACCGAACTCGCCTCTCAACAGGGCCATTGTTTCGCGTGCGGTGTGGCATGTGGCACCGTCTTGTTGAAACCACATGTCAGCCAAGTCCAGCTCTTCCATTTTGGGCAAAAAAAAGTTTGTTATCATCGCACGGCAGCGCTCGCCATTCACAGTTACGTTCCGGCCATTGTCGTCCTTGAATGATGCCACCGGCCCATAATCCACACGAAACAGTGATTTTTTCGGGATACACTGGTAGCTCTTGCAATGCTTCTGGCTGGTCTTCACTCCAGATGCAGCAATTTTGCTTGTTAACGTACCCATTCAACCAGAAATGACCTTCGTCGCTGAACACAATTTTTCGATAAAAATGAGAGTCTTCCTCTAACTTTGCCAGCGCCCATTCACCAAATTGGAAACGTTGTGGGAGGTCGTGTGGCGTCAATTCTTGCACCAGCTGTATCTTATAAGGTTTTACACCCAAATCCTGTCGCAAAATTTTCCACGTAGTGGAGTAACAGAGGCCCAATTGCTGCGAACGGCGGCGAATCGACATTTCACGGTGATCACTAACACTGGCGGATGCAGCCGCAATATTTTCTTCAGTCCTCACTCTACGTCTGCGTGTTGGTGGTTTAATGTCCAATAATGTAAACTGGGTTCGAAATTTAGTCACAAGCTTCCGAATAGCTCCCTCAGTAGGCCGACCAAATTGCCCATAAATTCGAAGCAGTGCTCGATGCACTCTCTTAACCGAGCATGAATTTTGATAGTAAAATTCAATAATTTGCAAGCGTTGTTCGTTCGTGAGTCGATTCATGGTTAAATTATAGACCAAACTGAACATGTTTGACAATGACACAAGACACGATTCACGCGTCATCTGTCAAAAACAGTGTTGCCAAAAAGATACTAGCAAAAAAATCACGCATCATAAACAATATTTTGGAATTTAATGATTTCATTTATTACGAGCATGAACCATTGATATTGCAGAAGATAAAAAAATGTATTTATTCACTTAAAAAGTCAACGTTCCGACGGGTGGGAGCACCGGAGAGGGCGCGAAGAGAGGCAGAAAGCATTAGACGCGAAGCCACACCGACGAACCATCATACAGTTAACAACACCGAAATACATCTACAAACACATACAACATCTATCATCTCATGCTCGCTTCTTCATCTTAGTAAAAGATAAATTTGAAAAAATAAATTTGACAACAAGTATCCGTGCACACTCATTATTATATTATTGATCCTGAAGAAGCATGGGCATTATATACTTTGAGAACAATCTTTGTGACATTACCTTTACATCATTATTTAGGCTGTTTCATATTTCAACTGTAAGAAATAAAAGGGAACGTTGAAATGCTGCAGACCTATGTCGACGAGTAATAAAAAAATTCTGGTTATGTCTTGTCCCGTAATAATGATTAAAAGTTAAAAACTCATTTTTCAAATACGGATGTTTTCCTAATTTTATTATTCTATAGATGATGTTTCCTGCGATTTAGCATATTCAGTATAGACAAACTGTTTAGGTAATGAAAGATAATGAAAATCGCATGCATGCGTTCTGCAATTTTTGTATCGCATTTTTAGTAGTATACGCCAACGAGCTCCCATAAACTATATCTCCATAGTAAAAAAGCGACAGTATGAGATTCTGACAAAGGAAATACTTTTGCTTAGCCAGTAAACATTTGTTTAGTTTAGAGATATTTCTTAATCGTATGTAAGCTACCGTCAATTTTTTCTTTATGTATAGTTCAAATGATAATGCATTATCGAAGATTACGCCTAGATTCTTGCTTCGCGAACAATGAGGACTATTATTGTTTATACGGATATTCAAACTACGCTCAATCTTTCTCCTAAGTTTGAAATTAGATCCCAAAATTAAGGCTTTTGATTTAGAAGCATTGAGTTTTAAATTGTGGCGTATGGCAAAACTGTTTACCTATAGCAGGTCTGAATTAATGTGATTTTCGGTTGTGCCTAAATTGTCGTTATTAATAGCAATATAAAGTTGTGAGTCATCGGCGTACTGATGAAGCCTTGCATAAGCAACAGCTTCAGACATATCTGCCACATAAATACTAAGCAGCAAGGGCGAAAGGATTGATCCTTGAGGGACACCTTGTTTTACGTGTTTAAATTCAGATTTGAGGC